CTCTGGTTTCACCATTTTGCATTTCTTGAGTTTTTTTGGAGGGGGATTCTCGAGCGTCCAAAGAAGACATAAAATGTGTTTCTTCGGCTTTTACATATCCTCTTTCTAATTGTTCAATATACCTTAACAATAATTTTACTACTTTAACAACAATCTTTCCACAATTAATTATTATCAGTTCCACAACTAATTAGTTATACAAAAATAGCCTTCTCACGACGCTTTTAAATAGTCCCAGTATGGATTTACGGAAATTTCTGAATGCAAAATAAAGTTACGATTACAATAAAAAGTAATCTAATTAAAACTCATTTTTCTGAATAACAAATCTTTAAGTTTATTAAGTTATTCTTTCTGAAAAGATTTTTTTCTTTAAAAAAAATAGTGTTCTCACGACATACATATATATATAACGTAAGATAGCGGAAGAATGAGGGTTGCATTATTCGATAAAGTTACGATTACCTGAGCAGAAAAATTCTCATAACTGTGTCATAAATCCATAATCATTATTACACTTTTTCTTGCATAATCGAGTTCTTTTATACATAGCTTCTAATAATTTAAACAAGTTAAGTTTTTTTTGAGTTTTCGAGTTTATTTATTAGATACTTTTCAATACATTTTGTTCAACGTGAATACAAGGGGAAATGTCTAGGACATTATACATCCTTGTGGCAGAGGGCTTAAGTATATTTACAATATTTGTTGATTTGGCCTAGAGAAATAAGAACAGTTGTGAAAATTATACTAAAAACCACTTGCAGAAAGAATACATTAATAAATATGGAAGTTACAAATAATTACATATATTATAAATTATAAATCATAAGTCATTGACTACATATGTACAATAGATAAGTTTGATAAACAACACATTTATTTTAATATTAGCTAATTTCATAAATAAGTTAATAAATAAGCAAGTTAATAAATAATTACTAAATATTATAAGTTAAAATCATTGAATAGGTTTGTACAATACATAGTCAGACATTTACTAATTTGGTAAATAAATAAATATATAAACAGTAAAATTAACAATTTAATAAATAATATCACAGTGAATAAATATACAAAGCAGTCATACTAAAATGTATTTGACCCTCCTGTCTTTCCAATTTTTGTTGAGGTTAGAGTTTCCTACATTCTTTACTGTCATATTGTACTCTCAGCGCTACGTTCATAAAAGGAGCTAGTGTCCTTTTGATATCATCCTTAATGTATGGGATGTTTAAAATTTCGTGCATATAGCTTATACGAACACTTCTTTTAGAGGATGTAATTAACCTTAAAAATTTATGTGTGGTGATTAGTGACAGTTAATCGATAATTATTCAAAAATCGTGAGATGCGGTCTGGTGTAACACCACCTGACAGGCGTATAACAGCATTGGTCTAACTATGGTTTTATATATAATGAGTTTATTTTGGGGGAACATCCCAGATTCTCTACACATTAAAGGGAACAGAGTCTTGATAGCACACTTCCCTTTATCAACCTTTTACAAGTGTTGGTACCAAAGTTAAGCTTGCTATCGAGGTGTAAACTAAGCCTACGGGCATTCTAAATATTTCCAATTTCGCTCACTTCTGTAGTTGGCCCATTGAAAAAGTGCGAGGCCAGACCGACCAAGAAGATCGGAAACAAACATAGACAGCTACTTCTCTTTTTTCTTTTTTATGTGATTGTTTCTCATTCGGGTTGATTAAAAAAATTTATGAACTGAACCTTTTATGCATTACAGAGCTTATGTAGCCTTAATTATATTGAAATTCGAAAGTCAAAAAGGAGGAAACACTTGAAAGGTGGGGTTGAGATGGGAAGTTAGTGTCCGAGAGGATCGAAGTCACGATAGCTCAAGTAGTAGTGGAAGGTCGTGGGTTCGAATCCGGCTCGTGACACTGACTTTTTAAACTCAACTAAAAACCTTAATTTATTGAAAGATATTAAGTGGTCAAGTGGACCACGAAAACTAGTGAATTCCTCAAAACATTATTTATAAATATATCTCAACCAAGACCTTACATTAAAAGAATAATTAATTGAATGAAGTAACTTGGTCAATTGACCACTAAAATATAAATGGATTATTTATAAATAAGTAATGTTTTTTATAACCCTTAAAAAATAGAACTAGCATTTTTAAAATTTAAAAAGAGTTCAATTAAAACTGTTAATAGTTGTTATTAATATTAAGGATCACTTTTTTTTACTATTGTGGCTAACGACAGGAATCCCGTTCGTCACATACTCCCACGGCGAATGACAATGGCTTCAGTTTCTCACCTTTACAATTTATAATTGCGCCACAGAAAAATAGAGACAAAATGTGCCGGAAATGAGCCAACAACACAACCACTCTGGGTACTTGCTAATAGTTTTTCTCTCTGTGAGAGAAACTATTACCTAAATAACTTGTTACTTTTAAAAACTATTGTTTCGGAACATGAAATGATCTTTTTTTTAACAAGCGATTGGTTCTATCATTGATAACGTTATTAAGGAATTATTAATTCATTTAGTTTATATTAAATTTAGACAACGGTGATTTTGCTAAAGCATTTAATATAATTTATTGTTCAAATTACTTTCGACGCCCAGGCGTCCTCGGTCGAACAAGGAAAGGGAGGTAAGCAACAAACCGCAACAGACAAAATGTCAAGGTAGTCACCGTGCCATGCCCTTTATCAAAATGAGTGCTTTACATATAAAACTTAAAAAACGTAATATTCTATGATTGTGGTAAGTAGTACATTGCCGTCTTCAGTTTGTACGATTTTTATAGTCTTTTTCTGAAATATGTTATGAAACAGTTGTAGTTATGAGTTTATATGGCTTCGGTCAGGCAATGAGGAATTATTGTAAATTCAATGGTTTTTTTTTTTAAATTCACTAGTTTTCGTGGTCCGCTTGACCAATTATGAAAAATGGCAAAAAGGAGGGAAAATTCGAGAGGAGGGGTTGTGATGGGGAAGTTGGTGTCCGAGTGAATCGAAGTCACGATAGCTCAAGTGGTAGAGTACCGGCGTCTTTTTTATTTTATTTTTTTTATTTGAAAACAGCTAAATTTCCAGTAAGAAGGCACTCTTCTAGAACATTCAATTTAATTCCCTAGTTTTCGTGATCCGCTTAACCAATTATGAAAAATGGCAAAAAGGAGGGAAAATTCGAGAAGAGGGGTTGAGATGGGAAGTTGTTGTCCGAGTGGATCGAAGTCACGACAGCTCAGGTGGTAGAGTAGCGGCGTATCTAGCCGAAGATCGTGGGTTCGAATCCCGCTCGTGACACTGACTTTTTAATCTCAACTAAAAACCTCAATTAATTGAAAAGGATTACAATTTTAATATTACGAGAGTTGTTGTCCTATGATCTTCTCGATGAACTTGATCCGCAAATTTCTAACTGATGGATCTGAAAAGTTCGATTCCGCAAAAGCGAAAATTGTCCTGCACAGACTGCGCTAGTTATGGTGTTACGTGAATTGAAATAGTTTTTAAAAAGAACACTATTCATTACACAATACAAAATTGGAGTCACCAATTCCAATTAGGGAATCTTCGGTCTTAACTCGATGAAAGTCCGGAATGGATTCATTTAAAAATATGAATATTGGCAAGGGTTGAGGGATGTAACGAAGGAGAGGGGTTTCTTGGTAATGAACACGTGAAGATGTGATAAGGGAGGAATGTGAAGGGTTGCGATAAGGGTCGAGCGAGTATGTAACATACATGTATTGTTTTATTTCTATTCTGTTTTGATTACCTGAGGTACAAACAAGATGCTACCACTTTAGGATATCGGCGGGGTACACATTTAAAAGCATTTTTAGTAAGAAATCAGACCTCCAAATGGGGACGCCTAAATGACCGCAGTCTAAAACAAAATACGCGAGAAAGAAGACAAAAAGAAGGAAAACACAGAGCGCCGGCGATGACCTCAGCTGTTTGTCGGCCCATAAATTTCCCACTTCATCAATCTAAAATTACATTGGAGACATTTTAATAAAACAACCGTTAAAAAATACTTATTTAGGTATAGGGTAAATAAATAAGTTAAATTCAATTACTAAGTTATATCTTTATTACCAGGCGTTCTTACAGTATTTAATTAAACAAAGTTCCTTCCATTTATAAATAAAATAAACCCCGCAAATGTCACATTGTTTATTTACAATTTAACATATATTCATGATTTTGGTAAATTTTTGTTAGGGATTTAAAAACGTTTAATCAATCAATAAAATCAATAAATTAAAAAAAAATCGCAAAATAATCACTCAATACATAAATATTTGTAATATATTTACAAAGATGCATTTCCATTATAGATCAGGTTTTCATAATCAATATTCTTTACTATATTCACTAGTTTTCGTGGTCCGCTTGACTAATTAATATCTTTCAATTAATTAAGGTTTTTAGTTGAGGTCAAAAACTCAGTGTCATGAACGGGATTCGAACCCACAAACTTCGGCTAAATAAGCCGCTGCTCTACCACTTGACCTATCGTGACCTCGATCCACTCGGACACTAACTTCCCATCTAAACCCCCACCTTTTTGAATTTTCCCTCCTCATTATTTACTATATACTATCAACGACTTTTTTTTATTATGCTATTAATAAAATTAATACGTAGAAGCATTAAATGCAAGCAAAATACAGTGTTAGGACCAAGATCATTAGTCAGATTTTGGACGAAAGTTTGAGTGAATTCTAGATGATAAGACAATGCAAAAACAATTATTATTAATATTTTTTTAAAAGTAAGATATGTACGTGTACGGTTGAATACCTGCTGTTTTAAATTGCGTTTATAGGTTTGTAAATTTTTTTTTCCAATAGACAGGTTTAAAAACCCTGCAGTTTTATGATTTCTGATAAGTTAAGACTCAACGGCAGACGGGGTGCACCCGTGGGCCGGTGGGTGTGCGGCCCAAGAAATGAAAGAAGGGGTCCGCGATGGTGGGGACCAGTCGTCAGGTCCGAACAGGAGTAGTTCCAGCTCCAGTTCTAGCATGCCTACCTCTTGTGGCGGTTGTACTGTTGTTTTCTGACGTGCCATCGACATGCGGCACATCACACCTTTTTGGATAGCCGTCACCGCCGTTTTGGCGATCGCTGGAGCAAAAGGTACATATTATCCGTACGACCCGTGATTAAGAATTAGTAATGCATGTCGGTTTAGTTTAATTTTCTTCCTACTGATTACGCTCATGGTGATATGTCAAAGTCAAAAAACTTTTTTTTAAAATATTTTATTTAGAAATTGTGAAGGCCACGGTAAAAACTTTGAATACCTTTATGTCCAAAGAGTGCAGTCAATGACATTTACTGAAAACGTGATTTTAAATTCATCTGGTTGAAAGCATATGCACAGCCAAGAGGACTAAAATATTTTAATGAAATACGATTTTAACTTTCTTTTTTAATATTTATGAAATATGTTGCATGCGTTATTTGGAAAGGATTTTTGATGTTGAATCGATATTTTGTTCAGGCAAAGAAAATACCCTGAAGCCGATGAAAGCAAGAAATTGATAGTTTAATTATCAGTAATTTTATTTATAAATAATTGAAATCAATTAAAAATAGCGGAAATGTTCATTAATAATCCGCTGGCAAACAGATGGTGATTTTGCAACGACTTACGTCACCTGGCTGCCCTGTCTGAAGAATCGGCGCTCAGATTTTATCATTCCAATTGACACAGCTCGGGGGAAAAGGAAGAATAAACCAGACGATCTTCAAATCTTATATACGACTTTAGTTAATATTTTTATCAATGATGTCACCCAAATGTGATTCTATTAGATGCTACTTCCAAACAAGGTAGAAAGAAAAGTAAAGGTAACAACGAGGCAGGCACAACAGATTTCATTATGTTGTCTTCTATGGATGTCGAGTTACTTGCTAAGTACAAATGCTTTTTCTCGGAGGAGACATCTCAAATTGAATTGGGTGTCAATTTCAGTACTGGAAAAAACAATGAAAGATAGCAAGACCCATGTTATGCTCTTGAAGCGATATATCTCGGAAGAAAGTTTTGTTCAAAATTTGTTCAAAGAAAAAGGTACATCGGCCAGGACCTGGGGTATAAAATATCACACAACGAACAGAAATAGACTGGCTTCGAAATGCGAGCATTCCATTTTCTCTTAGGCACAAAAAAAGTTGGGTTCGAAAATTATGCAGAAGGGAAAAGACAAGGATCTTCGATTTGCGGGTGAGGTCACATTTTGCCTTTTAAAAGTTCTTCGAGCCTTGTAGTCGACATGTGAATTTTATTGTATTTCATTAATTGTATATATCTCAGACTATTGTATTTATGGCAACATTTACACGAGAAATAATTAAGGTTTTAAGTTGAGATAAAAAAGTCAGTGTCACGAGCGGGATTCGAACCCACGACCTTCGGCTTGATACTCTACCACTTGAGCTACTGAGACTTCGATCCCCTCGGGCACTAACTTCCCATCTCAATCCCACCTTTTGAATTTTCCCTCCTTTTTGCCATTTTTTTATTATCTCAACTTAAAACCTTAATTAATTGAATGTTATTAATTGGTCAAGCGGAACACGAAAAATAGTGAATTTAATTTACACGAGATTTAAAATCTCAGTGGGTTTTTGCTCTTCGTGGTGGATTCCGTGCCATATTTTCACTTTTTGCCGGTCTGGTTACTAGTGAAAATGCTCAATTAAAATACCCTGCATCTTTCTATCTTTTATATTGTAATTATTACTTTTACATCCTCCTCAAAACGTTTTTACAAACATTGAAAATTTTTAAAAAAATGCTTTGATCCTAAGTATGTAATAACACCCGTTAACAATTTTAAGCATTAAGTGGTCATCACTAGATGAAAAACAAAAATAAGAAGACTATTGAAATTAAAATTTTGTAATGTTTCAAGAATAGAGCCGATTAAAACCAACGGCATTGTGATTGTACCATGGAAAGAACCTTATCGAGGAAGCTCATGGGATTTAAGGACTCGTCGATTCCTGAAGATCCTTACAAGAACAATGTGTTAAGAAAGTTTCTATGTATGTCCGTAAGAGTTCTCATCGATCGCTAAGACTCTTAACATACAAGAATCGACAACTTGCAACCAGAAAATTTATGACTGTCCTTAAGACCAGAAATCCAACAAAGCCTGTGTATAAATTAGGAATAATGTATTAAAGTATTGATTGAACTACGAAAAAAAATTAATTTTTTCCAAAATGTATTAATAAAATTTTGCAGAAGCATAATTATTGCTAAAACGGGATGATCATGGTCGATAAAAGTGTGAATAAGTTAAATGCAACAAATTGGTAGATGTTGATGATCGTATGTATTTTGAGCAACCGTTCTAAAATCCAAACATCTGTTTATTTTTAAAAAAGTCTCAAAATACTCTTTATTCCTGAGTCCCAACTTACGTTGAACGTCGAAGAAAATGTACAAAAAAAATTATGACAGCATGTAAAACACTTCATACATGAACAGCATAAAATCAATTAAGTGCAAGATGGACGTTTCAAACCGAAATTGCGGTGAATAAATAGATGTGACAAAAGGCCGTTTATACATGAAATACAATTACATCAAGAAGAGGAGACAAGGCGTAAAACATCTTACATTCAGTTCACCTGAAACTGGTGTTGTTAAAAGCATGTTAAGTCTTTCAGCTATGTGTTTATAGAATAGGCTCAAATATAGTAATAATTTCACTAATTTCGTGGTTCGCTTGACCAATTAATATATTACAATTAATTAAGGTATTTAGTTGAGATAAAAAAGTCAATGGCACGAGCGGGATTCGAACCCACGATCTTCGGCTAGATACGCCACTGCTCTATCACTTGAGCCGTAGTGACATTGATCCACTCGGACACTAACTGTCATTGAAAAATGACAAAAAGGAGGGAAAATTCGAAAGGTGGGGTTGAGATGGGAAGTTAGTGTCCGAGTGGATCGAGGTCTCGATGGCTCAAGTGGTAGAGCAGCGGCGTATTTAGTCAAGGGTCGTGGGTTCGAATCCCGCTCGTGCCATTGACTTTTTTATCTCAACTAAAACCTTAATTAATTGTAATATATTAATTGGTCAAGCGGACCACGAAATTAGTGAATTTAATGATTTAAAATTAAGTATACTTCACTAAAGGTCTCCGTGGCCATTTCATTTGTCGTCGAGAATCCAATCCGATTACACGACATTTGAAAAATGGCAAAAAGGAGGGAAAATTCANAATTAATTGTAATATAGTAATAATAAAAGTTACTATTAATCAATTAATTAATATTTATGAAAGGTATTGGTTGAGATAGAAAAGTCAGTGTCACGAGCGGGATTCGAACCTACGATCTTTGGCTAGATACGCCGCTTCTCTACCACTTGAGCCATCGTGACCTCAACCACTCGGACACTAACTTCCCATCTCAACTCCACCTCTCGAATTTTCCCTACTTTTTGCCCTTTTTCAATTAATAGGTCAAGCGGACCACGAAAACTAGTGAATTTAATACGTTAAAATTAAGTAGATCTTCACTAAAGCTCTCCGTGGCCATTTCATTTGTCACCGAGAATAAAATTAATTGAGGTGAGGTTGAGATGGGAAGATGGGATCGAAGCCATGATAGCTCAAGTGGTAGAGTAGCGGCGTATCTAGCCGAAGATCGTGGGTTCGAATCCCGCTCGTGACACTGACTTTTTTTATCTCAACCAATACCTTTCATGAATATTAATTAATTGAAAAATGTTAATTGGTCAATCGGACCACGAACTGTAATGGAGTTACTATTAATATCAATAAATCAATGTTTTAATGGTTAATCTGTTAAAGCATCAAATAAAGCAATATAGTTTGTACCACACCTACCTTCGTATCTAATTAAAAATAAATTAAATTCGACAAGTTTCACCATATTCTGACGTTTATTTTCTAAATGCAATAACTTCTCGGTTCCCGTTCGAAGTTGAAGGAGAGGTTGAAGGGCATTATGCCTTTTTACGAGCGAACATCCTACGATTTTTATGTCAGTATGATGGGACTCTTCTGACGTTTTTAATAAACCATTATAGAGCCTTCGGTGCCTTTTCTCTCATAACAGTATAGTTGCCAAACTTAAATTATCGCCAGTCACCCTCTAATGAAAGAACTGTTCCCATTTCATAAAACTTCCGATGGTTATGCTTAGTTGAACGCCGCTTATTCTTAAACGCGTAAATTGTTCCTTAGAGTTACAATTTTCACAAATAATAAAGACTTAAGGATTTACTTTAAGACGTAAATTTTGCCATCTTTGTTTTAATAAATTTTTCTATTTTATTCTCATTCTTTAACTTGTGATTTTCATTGAGAGTTTTTCTTGCATATGATAATAAACCTGCAGTATATCAGTACTCTCTGCCAATCTTACAGTAGTTGGTTTGTGGCGGATTATATTAAAATAAGAGCGTAAGTGGGTTGGTGTCTTTTTATCAAGGATAAGCAGACCAGGATAAACCAGGCCGACAACTGTATCAAATTTTTACAATATTTTACAGAAACAGATATATCACTTACATGGATCAAAAATAAACGTTGACCCCCAAAACAACCTTGTGGTGCTCCACTCAGCAGGTTCCCAGGAAGATGTCTTTCCGTTCGCGTCAATCGCAGCATGTTTTCTGTCAGTGAGGTGTGATTCGCATCATTTAACCGAATAATCGAACAGTTTAGCCAAAGATTTACTTTTAATGAAGGGGCGACCAACGATTTATTGAATAGACGGCTTTGGGCAATTTAAATAAAATTTAAACCGTAACGAGATATTTTTCAATAGCCCACCTTATGTCATCCAGTCAGTTCCAACATTGCTTCCCGACCACTAAAATTTTTGCGATAAGCAACAAATACAAAGAGCTAGATAGAGAGAGACAAGTTATAGGAATGTGGAACATGGAGAAAGTGAGTTTTTTTAAAATAACTATTTTCATACAGTTCATACATAATTAAATACACAAAAAGTAAAAAAATAAACATTCCGAAATAGTTCATTTGAAAAATGATCCTACACTAGTCAACGAAACCATTAACTTTATCCATCCTCCTTTCCTTTCAAAACAGTTAATGAATTTTAAAAAAATCAATTCAAAATA